TGTATCACAATTTTTTGTGTCCCTTTCCTACCAACTCTTAGATTTTTATGTCCTTTAGAGTTTAGAATTGCTTCCTTATCATCACGTATCTTGAAATTTTTGGCATATTGCATTCGATATATGTCACATTCAGTTGAGAAGTTGGAACCGCAGCCTCTTTCTTAAGGGGTATAAATGAAGATGTACATGTGAGAAAGAATTGGATAAACAGAGACAGAGAAATAGGCAGAGATTTTGGCAGAGAGAGAGAGAGAGTGAAGGAGAACAAGTGAGAGAAAGAGAGAGAGCATGCATGCACCAATGAGTCAGACAGCAGATTAAACTGCACATTTTGTCAGATAAATAGGAAAACATTGATGCTATTTTTTTACATACTACAGGACTAATTTTACAAGAGTTTAAACATTTGGACTACTGTGGAACAATATTCTACTTTGTGTAATATATGTGAGTGGCTTGCCCTATTTTATATTAAGACTCTTTCAATTATGCCTAATATTCTGTGAACAGAGGGTCTTTGGATCACTCTTTTAATAAAAGCAGGGAAACCATTGTTTACAAATAACTCTTCAGTAATGCTAAGTACAGCATTTGTAATTTCTTTTACATATGATTAAGAACTTTATTTAACCTTTGATTAACTGCTCTGTAACTTCGCTTATTGGGGTAAAGTCATTTTCTAGATTGATCAATTGACATTTGTATATAATTTGAGTAAAGGGCACAGAGGAATGTGGAGTGGAAGAAAAGACCCCTGAGAAGATAAGTCTTGGCAGGTCCTCCTCAGAAATGTCACTCGCATCCATCTTCTCATGTCCATTCCTAGAGCCACCAGCACACCATAGTCTAGTTCCTTAGTAACTCATGTCTAAGTTATTAAAATGACCTCTAACAAGTCCTCATGACTTCCAGCTTCTTTTCCTCCAAACTTTCCTCAGAATTAAACTTACTAAAACATCCCTCCCTTCCCATGCTTAGAAGCCTTCAGGGAATCCTGTGCCCAGAGGCCATATACTAGGTTTGTCTCCTAGAATCCTCACTGCCATTGCCTCTGATCAGAATCTGCTCTGTCCTCAACCCTTTCCGTCTCTTCTCTCACTCTTTTCCTAATATATCCTCTCAATCAGCCCACCTGATTGCTTTTCTGTTTCAAGAATTCTTTTCCATGTCTTTATTTTCTTCCCTGCCCAGATACCATGTTTCTATCCAGTGACCTAGTGTCCATCTTCCCATTCCTTTAAATTCAGCTCAGGTTCCTAATGGAGCCCTTCATGACTCATACTTCCCTCATCTTCTAACTTCTGTGGCACCAGAGTTTGGTGACTACATATACTTCTTGTAATACTTGTTTCACGCGCATGTTGCATCCCCAGACTATGACCTGTGATTGTGCATATGTGTGTGTTTCCCAGTGCATAAACAAATTGTGACTATAAAATATATATGCACGCCCTCAGGGCTGTATTCCACATGTATTTATTAAGTGCCACTTTAGCCAAAGTAGATGCTCAATAAGTAATTGAGTAAAAAATGTATGAATGGAGCAGAGAAACTATAAAATAAGAACATTCCATTCATTTATGCTCTGGTACAATCAGTAACTACTGATTACATAACTTTCATGTGCTCAACGCTGTATTTGGTGAGGCCTGGGTCATGAAAGGATGAAACAAATATGGCCTCTGTTGTTTCATAACTTTTCATTTAATGTTGACAGCTAAGGGGGAAAATGTATGAAACACTTTGGATAAAAGTAGGGGTACCATCTGAAACCCATTGAGGATAGACCTTATGGATAAAAAGGTAAAGAAAAAGGGAAGAATCAGTGAAGAACTGGACTCCAGAGAAAGTTCCTTGGAGGTCTTTAGTTTTGAACTGGACCTTGAAATTTGGGATTTTGATTTGAATATAAAAGCTAGTATACACTACAGGAGTGGATGACAATGAGCATGAGTCTAGTAGAGGAACTAGAATATGCTAGGATAGCTAAGGACCGTCCTGACTGGAGTGGATGGAGGTAGAGAGAGGAACAGGATGAATGATAGAGTAGGGGCGGTTTATTTTAGGAGGATGGAATGGAAAAAAATAATATGTGAAGTTCCTAGCAAGGTCCCTAACTCAAAGTAGGTGCTTATAAATACTAGTATCTCCCCCTTTTCTCTTTTATCTAGCACTTAGGAAGTTAATTATGTAGTCTCTCTAGCCATGAAATGATTTTTACTCATTTCATTTCTCAGATGATTAATCTCATAACCTTTCTATGGGTGTCATGTTTATCCCTCATTTAACTTTTTCATAAGTACTAGGAATATTCTTAAGAGATGAGCAATCTTACCTCATAACTATATCAAGAAATACAACTTATAATTCTATGTGAAATATTTGCATATACTATCTATGACTACATCTATTTCATTATGTATCTATCAACATATGCATATATCTATTCTATAGCTATCTATATCTGCATGTGTATACAAATATAATAAATGTGTATCCTAAAGGAGTCTCAAACCCTGGTCACCATGCACTTCTCAAGTCTTAACTGCTGCCCTTGCCCATTTGCCATTAAAATTGCATAGGGGGGTACCTTGAGATATCCCAGTGGACCACCTGCATACCATGTGAATTCTTCCCTGCCCCCATGTGTAACAGCAGCTCTTCCTCTTCCTGATGATTAGGATCAATTACCCCTGCCAGTATGGTCAATTTCCTTCCTGCTTGTATCTCAATTCAAGAAGGTTGAAGTGAACTGGTGCCACTGTAGCTTCATTTTTCAGTAGGACTCTTCTTGTGTCCCCAGGAGGATGTGCGTCACTCTGTGGGAACTGGAGCCTCTGGTGCCGCAGAGCCTGCAGTTGCCTTGTGCTTCATTCTTAGTAGGGGGAGGGACAAGATGACTACTGTGCCCTTTATTTTGTTGGGTGCGTCCCTCCATGTCCCAAACATTGGGCCTCTAAAGCCTTCTCTGGTGTGGGGGGCCCCTGAATCTGCATAGAGTTTATCTCACACCATGGCCTCTGCTGTATTTACCATCTCTTGCTAATCTGTTTCAGATAGCAGGATGTCATCACTAAAGTAGAACAATCAATGTTCTGTGGATTATGTAGATGGTTTAAGTTCTTTTGGACCGTATTTTAACTGAAGGACAAAACTATAAATGTGTGGTATTGTCAAACGTGAAAGAGAACTTGTTCTATTCTTCCTTCTAATAGAGATAGAAAAGAACACGTTTGCTGGAGCAATGGCTGCATACCATGGCTTGTAACATCTCTTTGAGTCACTGGCAGTAGTTCATGTGCTGACTGCTTCGGCTTTATAAGTTTTCTTTTTCTTTCTTCTACAGCGTAGTTGCTAAGCTTTCTTTTTAACCTTGTTATACATAGGAACATTTTTGTAAATGTTCTAATATTTTCCCCAGTGTTTCCGTGTGTTGATGGCAGATTAGAGGTCTATAAAGGCTTAGATGACCGTGTTGCTAAAACCAGAATGAGGAATATTTTTCACAGAACTTAGCTATGAGAGGAAGGTAAAATACGGCAGCTCTATAGGGTCATGCAGGGTGTATAAGGTGTGTGTGTGCTTGTGCAAGTGTGCATCTTATGTTAGAAATAGGAAAGTGTTGTATTTTATCATCTTCAAGGGGAAAGTTGTTAGAAGAGAAGAGGTTGAAAGTTCAAAACACAGTCAGTGCCTAATTGAAAAAGGCCCTGGAAATGGAAATGGCCCTGAAAGGACTTAATAGGTTCAGAGATGGGAAATGGAAGCACATAAAAGCATGTAGGGACACTCTTGCTCAGATTAAGTGGACCGCTGTCCTATAGATCCGTAATGTTAAAACACAAGGTCTTTTTTTTTCCATTTTGCTTTGTATTAGATATTGCTTTGAGATAAGTGGGGAAACAGAATTTTGAAAATCTTTTAATTGTTAAGAAATTATCTTCTACATTATTAATGTTTAATGTCAGTTTTTTCTGGGAAAAGGGCTTTTGAAGAGCTGTTTTATCTGTTAAGAATTGGGTATGGAATGAAAAATATTTTGTATTTTGTTATTATCACATACAGAATGGGCTTATCTAAATAAACTCCAATGACATTCTTACTATTAAAATCGCCTTGGGGCTGATCTCAATATATTCAGTTTATCTTCTTTTTGTCATAAAATCACGTGGTACATTTGCTAGCTAAAATACATGGTTATTAGGGAGATTTTTTTTCCTACAGAGTGTTTTAAGGGAATCCAAAATTTTTAGGACTCATATATATCGATTTATTAGTAATCCCTAACTATGATTTGAAAATTTGATTATTTGCATGATATGGGGACACTCACATCATGAGTGGCACAATAGACAAAATTTTACAGTAGAAGAATCTCTGCTGGATAATCTTTTATTTCTAAATTTTGCTTTTCTACTTAGTGAAATATGAGCAACTGTTTAAATACCCACTTTAGTGCAATAGTAATTTTTCTTTTGACTTTGGGGAAGTTCAGATTCTATATATTATTATAAATAAATTCAAGGAACATTTATTTAAAACCTTACAATGCCTGGTGCTCTGAGAATATCATTGTAAAGTAGACGCAGTGTCTACTTTCAAGGAGATCACAGTCTATAAGAAGGAGAAACATATCAATATTCTGATGTAATACTGGATCAATAGAAATATATATAAGTAGATGGTGTGAGTAGTAAGTTAATTGGGCATTATGAGTCAAAGAAGGCTTCTAGAAAGAGGTTGTCTCTGAGCTCAGGTTTAAATAGCTGATGGGTAAATACATTACCGTAAAAAGTTTGAAAAATTAAGAAAATCACTCTTCTGTATACTTAATGGAGTGATTCCAATTTTTAAAAATGTAGCATTGATATATATGAGCTCAATACTTAACAGCGCAGGTCTTTATACAGAGGACGCCCTACGCAACCCTACGGGATTACAGGAAGTGTCCTAACGCACCTTAGAAGTACTAGAGGAGATGTCTTTCTTCATCTATGCAGGAGTCCTGTCCTGGTTTTCCAGTGCAACTACCGCCACGTGATGTGCTTGGACTGTTTCCACTTATACTGCGTGACAAGACTTAACGATCGGCAGTTTGTCCATGACCCTGAGCTTGGCTACTCTCTGCCTTGTGTGGGTAAGTCTAGCATATTTCTCCCCATTTCTAACGCTAATTAAGAACAAAAGGAGAAGAACTATTGATGTAAAACTATCTTAGATATACCCAATCCTTAGCTGAGGGGTTGAAAATTCAGATATCTATTTGATCAGTGCTGGGCAAGAAACATTAATGTTTGGATCACAAAAAATATAAAACGCTAGGATATGAAGGAGCTGTGTTGAATTAGAAAATGCATAACCTGCACAAAGGCATTGAAAATTAATTGTAAAATATTATTCAGCCAAGGTACACAAAGTATGTCTATGGATTCACCATGTAAGTTATAGATTTATTACCCTGGGTCTAGAGCAGTGCTATCCAAATTTTTAAATTACACACCCTTAATCCTAAAACACACATCTATATGGAAGAATATATATTTAAAAATAAATTAAAGAAGAATGAGATAAAGCTGAAATATTTAACATTTTAAATAATTTTTATCTTTCAACATTACAAAATATCCTTTACTTGCACTATACTATTATTATTACATGTATTTTTTTTAATTGAGGTGAAATTCACATGACAGACAATTAACCATTTTAAAGTGCACAATTCAGTGGCATTTTGTACATTCACAATGTTATGCAATGGCCGCTCACCTCTCTTTGGTTTCAAAACTTTTTCATCACCCAGAAAAATACCCATATCCATTAAGTATTCACTCTCCATTCCTCCTTGCCCCATCTCCTGGTAACCACTATAGTCTGCCTCTATGGATTTGCCAATTCTAGATACTTCATATAAAATGAATCATATAATATGTGACCTTTTGTGTCTGCCTTCTTTGACTTAGCGTAATGTTTTTGAAGCTCCTCCAAGTTGTGGCATGTATCTTCATTTCTTTTTATGGCTAAATAATACTCCGTTATGTGGATATGCCACAATTTGTTTATCTATTCATTTGCTGATGGGCATTTGCATTGTTTCCCACCTTTTGGCTATTATGAATAATGCTGCTATGAACATTGGTGTACTTGTTTCTGTGGGGATATATGTTTTCATTTCTCTTGGATGTATGCCTTGGAGTACAACTGCTGGGTCATATGGTAATTCTATGTTTAGTTTTTGAGGAACTACCAAACTGTTTTTCACAGCTGCTGCACCATTTTGCATTCGTGCCAGGAACTTATAAGGGTTCCTATTTCTCCACATTCTCACCAACGCTTGTAGTTTTCCTCTTTTGTTTTTGTCTTTTTAAATAGCCATCCTATTAAGTGTGATGTGATATCTCATGTGGTTTTGACTTGCATTTCCTTAATAAGTGATGATGTTGAATATCTTCATATCTGCTTGTTTGCCATTTGTATATCCATTCGGAGAAATGTCTATTCATGTCCTTTGCCCATTTTTTAATTGGGTTGTTTGTTAGTGTTGAATTGTAAGAGGAGTGCTTTACACATTCTGGATACTAGACTTGTATCATATATATTATTTGCAAACATTTCTCCCATACTATAGGTATCTTTTCACTTTCTTGATAATGTCCTTTGATACACAGAAGTTTTTAATTTTAATGAAGGACAGTTTATCTATTTTTTTCTTTTGTTGCCTGTGTTTTTGGTGTCAAATGTAAGAATCCATTGCCAAATCCAAGGTCATGAAGATTTATCCTCCTGTTTGCTTCTAATAGCTTAGCTCTTGTATTTAGGTCATTGATTCATTTTGAGTTAATTTTTATATATGGAGTGAGCTAGGAGTCCCTACCTCATTATATATGTATTTTTTAATGACTGCAATGTGAGTAAATATACTTCACTGATTTTTTGAAATTTGTGGTTTGAAACTATGTGATACTTTGATTCGATGGTCAGGTTTTAATACAATACATTCAATACATTTATTTCAATACTTAGATTTAATGTTGATCATAGCTGATAAATATATCTAAAAATTATTTCACAAATTCAAACTGAAGAAGCTAATTGCATTGTTGGCTTTGTAAATTATGGTACTCATTTTTCAATTGTATCTGCCAATGATGCAATGTTTTTTTAATTAAGGTTCACATAATACATGTGTCAATATATTGTTAAGGAAAATTCTTGAAGGATATTGTACTTTTATATTTTAACAAAAAGGTTCGAAACTCAGTGAAACATTTATTGGCAGATTGGAAGATTCCGTTTTTAGTATTTTTAATGTGATAATTTTGTATTGCTAAACTCTCTTCCTTCACAAAAACCATATAACATAGAAACATTTCTAAATATCCATTTTGAAATCGTCTCTTCATATTCAAGATACTTTTAAAAATCAGTCTATTTCTCATCACTTATTTTTAAATTTTTAAACAAATTAAATTTAAACAAGTTATAAATGTTTTCCCCATATTTGAAAAGAGCTTTCAAATGTTATTGTAGATTTTTTTTTTTTTTTTTGTAAAAACCAAAATGGATTGTCTTGAATCTTTGGTCAACAGAGACATTCTTTTCATTTGTTACTTGCTTAGTTTTTAAATGTCTTGCTGAGTGTAAGGGCTTCATACCGTCTTTAGTTTATATCTCAAGGTGAGGGTCACTGTTAGGGATGATGGTACCCCGCAGTGTCAGTGCCACCCTTTTCTCTTTTGGCTTGTGCCTACTTTATTAGTACTATCTTTAATAATGGTTTCTTTGCAGGAATCTCCTTAAGTCACTTATGTGTCTCAACAGAGTTCGTTAAAATAAGATAATTTATCCATGATTCTTTTAGCCGAGCACAGGTAATCTTCTGTGAAAGGGAACTGACAAGAGTGGCCCCACTCTCTAAGTCTGTGTCGTAGGACTCCCACAGTTCCCAGGGGTGCTGCCTTTGCAATTCATGACACATGATCTGATATGCAGACAGGGTAGGAGAAGTACCAGTGGCAGCTTGTACATTAAGTCTTAATGAAGCTTAATTTTTTCATAGTTTAAATAATACCTGTGTAAGCCCTAATATTACCATCCATAAACCAATGACTCATTTTGCACATATTCTGAGGTCTACACAGAGCATCAGAGAAGCCAAGTTCAAATCCTCTTCGTCTCCAAGACTCATTGCCTTTGTAACATAGGGCAAGTTACTTAACCTTGGTGTGCCTCAGTTTCACTTTAAGGTAAAGTAAGGATAACACAATAGCACTTATTTCATATGTTGCTGTGTAGATGATTTAAAATAATGCCATGTAAAGTGCCTTTAGGTTAAATGCTGAAGACAGTAAGCACACAATGACTATTGGCTTTTGTTCTTTTGGTTATTACGTAAGAATGCATTTCCACAGATAGTATATATCATGTATTTGTGCATATACGTGTATATTCACAGAGGAACATGTATTTAGAAATTCTTTAAGTGTAGGTTGGTGTTTCCTGTACTCAATGCATAAATCAACCAATTATCAAGCATTATTCACATATCCATCCATCTGGCTGTCTTTTTCCCTTCGTTTATTTGACTTTACCTTGATTCATGGAACATAGAACAAGACACATAAAATAAAGCAGTAATAAAACAGAAATAGAATATCAAAGCTTTTCAAACTATAAATAGAAACAGCAGACTATCAGGAACAGGAATTGATTGAACCCATATTATTTGCATGGCACAGTCTTCTCCTACAGTGGGTTAAATTAAAAGGTTATATCAATGTCTATGAATCTTGTAAATAAAAATAATATGTATAAAAAGCAAAAATGATGATTAATTCCATAAAGGAACTAAGAATGTATTGAAAGGTCAGCTTTATGGGAGCTGGATTAGTTCAGCAACACTCAAAGTCATACAGCAAAGTGGGTGTGTTGCTGGTCATGTTGATCATGGTGCTACAGAACATTTCCTTGATGGCTCAGGGTCAGCCTCAGTAGTTCTGGGTAAAATATCTGGACCTCAAGAGTCAGGACCCTGTGTTATCTTTGGCTTTTGGAAGCTTAGGAGTGGCCCTTATTGATTTCTCTACAGAGATGTCCATTTACCTTTCTACCATGTCAATTTAAAATGCCTAGCCAAATGGTTTTAGGCCCCCCTGGTGACTACTAGCTATTTTTGGATTATAATGCTTCCAAGAAAATTAAAGCAAGATTTATTTATGTAATCAAGGGCATTTTATTCCTAAAGCCATCACTTCCTTTTAATGACAAAGTTCATGTCTAACCACGAGAGGTGGTTACTCTGGCACTGGAATCCACAGCTTGAATCCACTCCTTGACATTTCTGACCTCGGGGGTTTGCATGAGGCGGTAAATAGGACAGATTCATTTTAAATAAGTATTTGAATTTGCTTGGTGGTTGTATTCCTACTTTGGCATAGGCCAAAGGACTTTTTGGTGCTCACAAACTAAAATGAAGCATCCTGCTAGGGTGGCGTGTGTACTATTCAAAGATGTTGTGAAGTAGGTGTCTGCCGCATGCACAGCACTGTTCGAGACTGCGCTTCCACACTTTGTGGTAAATGTAGCTATTTAATCCTCACCCTTCTCCCAGTCCATGCATTCATTATTTACTATGTCCACAGCCTGGGAAACAAACCATTCACTAGTGTTTGAATAGTGACATTGGGAGGAAAAAAAAACAACTGAGATCAGTTTTCTGGGACTATTAACTATATATCAAAACATAGAGACTGTAAGTAGAATCAGCAAACTATTTTTCAAACTACACTGGCCCCACAGAAGCCACAAAAAAGCCCGATAAAGCAGTTATTTCTATTGCTAAATGACTCACATACCAAATGTCTTGCTAACAGTGTCCGTATAAATTCACCATTTCTATAGAAATGTCTAATACCTCTTACCACCAAAATATGTGTAATAAGATATTCTTTTTTCCATAATCTAGTCTTTCAAACCTCTTTCATGCTCTTTAAGCTAAACATCTTCAGAGCTCAATTTTAGACATATACATTCTTCAAGGTATGGCTAGTCAACAATGAACCAACCTTTTTCATTGACATAATTATTATGATGAACACTTAAAACTGGTTTAAAATACTTTTCAGGTATAAACCCTGCTTC